CCCACCGACGGCGAGGGTGGAGCGTACGCAAGGCACGTCAGTTCCTGGCAGGCCAGGAAATATAGGCGCTTGGTTTTTATGGTTCAGCAAATAAAATTCGCAGTTCAGGAGTTGAAAAGGAGCCTTGGAAAAACATCCCCCCCGCCAACACGGCCGATGGGTTCGCTGCCTGAGAGCAAAGCAGGCAACGCTGGGGGGCAAAACCCAGCGGCAGCAAAGGGTGCTCTGCTCAGAGGGAAGCCGGCGCCGTAAATGCAGATTTTTCAGGCTGGATGAGCAGGAGCTCGGATCCAGCTCGTCTCCTCCCCAGGAGCCACGAGGGCTCTGCGAAGCCGCCGGGACCGGGGGGCTGAGGAAGCAGGCGTCTTTCGAAGGTGTCCAATCTGAGAGCGCGTGGGTGCATTTATTCAACTCCGGAACTGTGCAATTACAACACAATTAATTTGCAATGTATCTGTCGGTCCCATCAGAGCACCAGGAAACCTCACGTAAGCCTAAACCCTTGTGGGAACGTCGCTCTTGTAAATCAGGGCAAGGAAAAAAAGGCAATTAAAACATTTGTAGAAGCTGGCTGACTGCAGAGGAAGCTGCTGCTTCTCCGGGCTGTTTTCTGTGCTTTTACACCGATATTTCCTCCTCTGCCTCGCAGGTCTTTCCATCCACCTCATGCCGCTAGCGCTGCCGTCGCATCTCGGCAGCCTCGGAGCCAGGCAGCTCTGCACGAAGCAGGGCCGAGCGCAGCCCTCCAAGGGATCAACTCCCTCGTGAAGCAGACACAGCCCACGAGGCAGGAGCAAACAGCTTCACCCAGCACCTTCCCGGGCCTCAGACCCGGCCAGCGGCCTCGCGAGGACCCAGCAGGACCGGAGGACACGGTCTCCCTGCATGCTCGAAGGGGTTTCCTGGTGCTCGGAGGAGCGAGAAAAGCCCTGCAGAGCCCCTGAGACAAGCCCTCAGCCTCGGGTGACGGAGGGATCGGTTCGATTCAGCGGGGTGGAGGCAGAGAGGGTGCCCGGAGGGCTGCCCTCGGAGACGGGAGAGAGGCAGGGACTTTCTACCGCACCTCTGGGATGAGCTGGAAGAGCGCGTTAGAGAGCAGCGTGCCGATGGAGAGCGCGATGAAAAACGTGAGGACCCGGCTGAAAAAGGCCTTCTCGGTACACGGTACGATGAAGACTCCGAGCAGGGAGGCCACGTTAATCAATGACACACTGAGAAAACCAAAGCCCCACACTGCGGAACGAGAAGAAACGAGGGCCAGACATTACCGAGGCTCTCGGCGCGGGGAGACGGGGACGACCCCGAGACCCCGGATCCGGGCAGGCGGAAAAGGGCTGGCTCCGGGTCTACGCCTCGCAGCACCGGAGCGTCTCTCCCTTTGCTCCGGACGCTTCAACTGCGACACAAAGCGTCATTTTCGTTGCGGTGCAGGTGGAAACGAAGCCACCGGGTTACCTGGGAGAAGCTTTCCCGAGCCAGCCCTGGCTTCGCAGCACGGGAAAAGCCAGTGCTGTGCTCAGGGCAGCTGATCCAAGACCTTGGGCATCGTCAGGACCTGGACGTCTGGAATTTTCTTTAGGTGGCTGGAGGCCAGCGGGGCCACCCCCTCCCTCCCACGGGGACACACAGCGAGGTCCCCATCATCCAGCTCTCGTGGAGAGCCATGCTGCAGGCACAGCTCTGACCTGCGGCGTGGGCGAGCGGGGGCAAAACCACGCTGCAAGCCCGCGGCACAAGCAATGCCGAGGAAAACCCGTCAGGACTCCCGGCTGCTGTAGGCAAGCTGCCTCCTCTCGTCTGTGCCAGACTCCCTCCGTGCCCCGGAGCTGGGAAGGGGAACTGGCTGTCCCGCAGGGACCGGGCAGCGCTCGTGCCCCCCCCGCTCCCCGCTTACCTTCGGCTGAGCTGGGTCTGCTCTCCTCCGTCTGCTCGTTTTCCTCATTTTCCAGGTTCTCGGAAGCGCACGCCCGCGACTCCAGCTGCTGCAGGATGGTGGGGCAAAACTCCTTGAACTCGCTGTGCCCCACGGCGGAGCCCTCGCTCAGGTTGTGGATGGCGAAAAGCTCGACGGAGCTGAAGCACTGCGGAAGGGAAGAGACGGGCACGTGCCTCGAGGCTCCCGCAGCTCTGCAGAGAGGCTCCGGGGGTCTG